ACCGGGTTTTTCTCGGTAAAGGAGGAGGACCGGTGACAATAGAAGTATAGTGCTATTGATTTCATAGCAATGACTTGCATAGTGCCACTATCTTTTTCATAAAATGAATTAAATAACTAGTGGGAAATAAAGTTTGGCGATATATTTCTCGAATTGAATTCACACAAGTTATCATCAAAGTCAATGAAAAAATGAGAAATAAAAAGGGAACAAATTAAGTGGGTAAGATTTCACTCCAATGATGAGTTTTTTTTTTTTTTTGAAACATATTTCTTGAAAGCATCATTATCAAAACAACCACCCCCCAACCCCAATCTGTCCTAAAACTCGCCCATTTCGATATCACTCATTCCTGCTATCTTCTTTCTTTACAAGCTCAAATCTGAGCTAATACAGGTTAGATCTTCTGGACAAGCTACTCTCAGAAAGTGGTTCTGTTTGCTCGATCAGCTCCGAATGAACAAGGTACGTATACTTACTACAGGCCTCGTTTGCTTGGTTGTATGTTTCTTTTTTTCCCACTTAAACTGCCTATTTAAATTTACTTTTTACATTACCTATTCAAGGAACATTTTCGAAAATTGATAATATTAGTTGTAATGGTAAGTGAAGTGTGTATATATATTTTTCCCCTAGTATTGTAATGGTAATTTGATCGGATTATACTCTATCTAGTATTTGCCGAAAATATGAAACTACTGATTAGATTTTTGTTAGGAACAAGAGTAAAACTTGCAAAAGGTGATTATAAACGTATGGTACTCTGTATCTAATTATGTCCTCCTCGACTTTATTCATCTCAATAATGAACTGTTTAATGAGATGTTTATCAAATGATGACCCAAGTAGCTTTAGCTTCTTTGCAAAATATTTACTACATGAATTATAAAGACCAAAGTCAACTTAATGGAAACTTGCAACAATATAGAAAAAGCATGGCTTATAAAACTGAATAAAACGGAGCTACAAATACATACATTTCAAAACAAAATCGCTTCCAAAACACATTTATATGAAAACAAAATGAGACAAGAAGGTGAAATGATTTTCCGATGAAAAAGGATTAAGTTTTTGGTTCCGCCCCTTGGCTACATTCACAAATATGACGGAAGAAGATACTAAACAAAATCCAAGTGTAGAATGAAAACCTAGTTGAATGATTTATTTTAGTTTGGATTTGGCTGAAAAAGTCTCTGAAGAAATAAAATGAGAGGAGGTGGAGCTCCATTGGTGGACGTGGTGATTCCCGATTGGTGTTGCAAGAAAATGAATCTAAAAATATTGTCTGTAAAATGAAGATTAAAATAAAAGTATGTTTAAAAGTTTTATAACTATATATATATATATATATATAATCCTAAACTTTTTAAACATAACCTCAAAATATTCTTATTTAGTTGTTTCCTCCTGCTTTTACCTAAATGCAATCGGTCAATATCATTGAATTTCTTAAACGATCTTATTATTTGTTAGGAGTTCGGTCCATTTAATTTCTTATTTGGTTTTGAGCATTAGTAGAAAATTGTTAATCTAGTGAGGCGTTCCAAAATTTCAATTTTTTTTTTTTAATTCTTAAAGTCCTAAAATTCCTATACATGTTTTTTGGTTAGTGAGGTGGTCCTTTTATGTCTTCTGATGCAATAGTTGTTTCTTCCAGCTCTATCCTAAGTGCAACTGGACTTCTTCTTCTTTTTTCTTTTGTTTTTTTTTGTTAGAGAATAAACTAACTTTGTCAACTGGACATTTAGAAACGACTTTGAAAATAATCAACAAGGTAAGTCATTCAGTGCATTTATAAAAAAATATCAACTGGACTTCTTTTCCTTTTTTTTTTTTTTTTGGTTAGAGAATAAATTAACTTCATCAACTGGACATTTAAGAACGACTTTGAAATAATCAACAAGGTGAGTCATTCAGAGCGTTGAATTTGGGAATTCTTTTTCCACGAAAAAATAAATTAAAATAAAGTAAGATTCTTTTATGATTGATCCAAATCGATTTGCCTGGAAAATAATGACATCATTCCATAAATTATGCAAACATTATTAGGTAACTTTTCGGACAATTGTATTACCTGCATCACTAGTTTGGTTCCAGAATTCTGAAAAAGAAAGACATCATCGACTATAGTTTATACTGTTAGAGATGTAATATAATTACAACATCATCATTTTTATAATAGAGAAATAATATTTACTAGGTTCTTGGCCCAGGTTTATTTCTTTATCAGTAAACAAGAAGAATTGAGTAAAAAAAAGAGGATGAAGATATAATAAAGAATATGGTTTAACAAAATAGATTTTGTTTTGATTTTTCCCATTTTTCTACATAAAATCTTTGAATCAGATTTTGGCAATCTCTTTTTTAAGGAAAAAAACATTAGAGGTCATAGCTTGCAAATTAAATTTTGCAAGATTTGTTTTAATAAATGTTTAAAAGTGAATATAATTTGCAAATTAAATTTTGCATGCAGTGTTTTGGAAAAAGTTACAAAAGAGATCATTGCGAATTACATTTTTCAGGATAGAGATCACCTGTGACATAAATTTGTGTCACTCCCTGTGACATTTACTCTAAAGCGAATACGTGTATCTTTTTTATTTTCCCAACCCCTTCACTTACCGAAATTCATTAACCATGGTTAATCCTTGTTGGAGTTCTTTTTTCTTTGAAAGTATAAATTCAGGTAGGAGTTGAAAGAAAAGGAACACATAAAAAAAAAAAAATGTTTCTCTCTCCGTCTCTTCTAAATTCTCAATTTATTCACCGGCGAAGTTGTGTAGCAAAACTTCGAGGAAATGGAAATTTTGTTTGTTGGAGATTCGGGTTGAGTCGGATGGTGATGATGGGGTGACACGATGAAGAACAATATTTGAATTCCTGGATGGATTCTATTCTGATGTATAAGCAAAGCTTCCGCCCTTCTGATTGAAATTTTTTGTGAATGTTTAGGGATTCCAAGGAGTAAACTTTATGGGATTTCTTCCTCTCAGTTGGTGTTTTTTCTTTTTTTTTTGTATCACCGTAATCTAGATTGGGGAGTTGCATCAAAATAGAGAAACATTGATGGTTGTACAAATTTTAATTAGTTTATGGATAAGTTGTTTGTCTTTTACATTTTCCGTTGGCAAATTCTTGCTTTTTGGAAACTAAAATTATGTTAGAGCACAATTTTGTCAGATGAATAACAGCAGATGTATGTGTGTTTGTTGAATTAATAATTTTTTGGGCTCTTTCAAAATAAACACTACTCTAGCCGTATAAATATACAAGCTAACCGAGATAAATTTTGCATCACGATAATAAGGTTTTCACTTTTTAGAGAGAAGCAACCAAATTCAACGGAGTTCTTTATTCTGTCATACTGGTCTGTGCCACAAACGGCTTGATAAATCCTGCAAAAGAAAAGTGCGGTGGAAAGTATAATTCCGGCTGAAGACACCAACATTGATGGTGACGGCAAGCACCAGGAACATAAACCCATTTTCTTAAAGTTTTGCTACACACCGATATTTGAAGTTCATACATCAATATTGTCGAGAATGGATCTATGTCTCCTGTGATTCATAATTTTGGCTTCTTCTCCGGAAAAAAATTGAGAACTTACAAGAGATGTATGAGAGAAGTCCCTTTCTACCTTTTCATGTTTTGATTTCTGTCCAGATTAACCATGGTTGCTACTGAAGTTTGGTAAGTGGAGGTTGGAAGAAAAAGATGAGACACGTGTGGGATACAGAGTAAATGTCACATGGAGTGGCAGAAATTTGTGTCACAGGTGATCTCCACCCCATTTTTCAAGTCTTGTTTTGGAAATGCTTACAGAAGAGAGCATAGATTGCAAATTAAATTTTTTTAAACCATGTTTTGGTTAAAGAAAATGGTGAGATCATTGCAAATTACATTTTTCAAGTCCTGTTTTGGAAATGCTAACAAAAGCGAACATAAATTGTAAATTAGATTTTCAAAACCATGTTTTGGGTAAAGAAAATGGTTCCAAAACACAATTTATTTATTTTTTTTAAAAAAAAAACAAATATGTTTGTTTTGAATACTAATAAGACTTGCATAATAGTAATAGAAAAAGTACTTATATGTTTTGGAAGATTTGGGGAAACTTACCATATATAACTTGTAAATTAGATTTTTGAGAACATATTTTGGATAATTCGAGAAAGTGAACACAACTTACAAATCTATTTTAGTAATCCATATTTTAGGAATTTCAAATACTTAACATGAAACTTACCATATAAAACTTGCAAATTAGATTTTTGAGAACATATTTTGGATAGTTCGAGAAAGTGAACACAACTTACAAATCTATTTTAGTAATCCATATTTTAGAAATTTCAAATACTTAACATAACTTCCAAAATTAGTTTTTAGAAGCCATGTATATAAGTAAATATAGTAAAAAAAGTACTTCATAAAAATAGGAAGAATTAATAGTAATTATAAAAGTGAGACATGATGTGAACATAATTTACTATTGTCTAGCAAATCATGTATAGGGATCGGGTTAGGATTTAGTTAAAAAAAAAGTGAACGTAACCAGAAAATTAGATTTTAGAAGTCACGTTTTGGGAGAATTTACACAATATAAACATAACTTATAAATCATATTTTACAAACCATGTTTTGAAATAATTTAGATTAGTAAACCTAACCTGCAAATTAGATTGTGCAAGTCACGTTTTGGGAGAATTTACACAATATAAATGAACTGATGACTTGCAAAATATGATTTATAAGTGAGATCTCACTGATGACAAGCCACGTGGAGTTGCTTTTATTCGAAATGAACTGATGACAGTGAGATCTCACTTGGGCTATACCGTGGAGTTGCACAATAATGATCAGGATAAAATTCAAGCTCTTTGGGATCGTGTTTTGGAGGTATCATTCAGAACGCAGGACTTCATCGACTATGTCATGATTGGGATCTTCCACATTATGTCTCATCATTATTCTGTTCTATCAAGGAAGACATCAGAAACATTATGTCAGAATTCGAAGTCAAGGAACCTGAAATCAAAGTGACTAAAGAAACCATGACTTTGACTCTTGTGCCATCAACAACAATTTCCTCAAGGACGAATCAGATTGTAGGTTTACATCATCAGGAGGCGGAATCGATTATGAATCAGATCATAAGAGGAGGTGAAAAATTGAAGATTGTGTCCATTGTGGGAAGGCCGGGAATTGGCAAGACCACTTTGGCTGAAAGAGTTTACAATGATCGTCGTATCATGTGCCATTTTCCAGCTTGTGCCCTCACTACTGTTTCTCAAACAGTTGACAGACGCAATCTACTTCTGGACCTTCTGAAACAAGTTTCTCCCGAAAAATACTATTCTGAGAGTACTTCTAACAACACCGTGGATGATGTCGCGAATGAACTGAGACGCAGTTTGAAGCAAAAGAGATATTTCATCGTTTTGGATGATATATGGGAAGCTACGGTTTGGCGTAACTTGAAAATAGCATTCCCTGATGATTCGAAGGGAAGTAGGATTATGTTGACGAGCCGTAATCGTGAGGAGATCGCTGGTTTAACCAGTCCCGGCGAAGTACATGAACTCAGACCACTCAATAAAGAGGAGAGCTTGGAGTTATTTCATAGTAAGTTATCCTCTGGAAGTGCTCAGTCCATTGCAGTAAGCAATCTTGGGCGGCAAATCAATCAAGTTTGCGAAGGATTACCTCTTTCGATTGTCATTGTAGCCGGACTTCTGAAATCCACTGAGCAGAAGGAATGGGATGAAATTCTGCATCCGTTAAGCTCAAGCGACATTTCCAAAAGTTGCCAGGACACATTAGAGCTGAGTTACCTGAGCATTTAAAGCCCTGTCTTCTCTATCTCGCAACATTTCGCGAGGATCAACAAGTCTCTGTCAACAGGTTGCTTTATTTATGGATGGCCGAAGGGTTTCTCCGGAAAGTAAGGACGAAACCCTTATTAGATGTTGCTGAGGAGTACCTGAAGGATTTGGTCGGCAGGAGCTTAGTGATGGTAATCAAACAAAAATCAGCTGGCAGGATACGAACATGCCGTATCCATGACTTGCTTCATGAATTTTGTTTGCAGAAAGCCCGAGATGAACATTTTTGCCATTTCCTCAACGGAGAACATGAAGACCTGTCAACTTTCAAGGAGCCACGCCACCAATGGAGGCTAATCACTAACTCTGGTTTAAAGCAATTCCTTGACTCCGAAGTATATTGTTCACGCATTCGTTCTCTGCGAGTCAGTTTCTGCAACACACCAGTGAAGGTAAACTTCTCAGTCATGTTGCGCTTTTGGAAATTTCGAAGAATACTAGACCTGGTGGAAATCGAGTTGTCTTTGAGATTCCGAGTGAAATTGGACAACTTGTTCGGTTGGCCTACTTTGCAATTCGAGGCTATAACTTGAACATCCCGATGTGTGTCTTTGACCTATATAACTTGGAGACTCTTATTATAAATGAATTTTCCGCTGAGAAATTTGTGTTGCCAAGCACATTCTGGAATCTGCAGAGACTGAAGCATCTTTACATGAAGGGCCGAGCATTGGGTATTTTGCCAATTGAAAATCTTGAAAATTTCTGTCACTCCAGGGAGTTGGACAGAATTTCTGGTGTGATTTTGCCTCATGAGAGAATGGAAGGGGTGATAAAAATGTTTCCGAACATCCGCAAGTTCAAAATCAAAATTCAAGGATTTGATGATAATCATGCAGGAAATCATGTCCAGATTGCAGCTCTTGCCTCTTTGTGCCAACTGAAATCACTTAATCTGTCCGTAGAAAAAAGTCAATTACCTGAAAAGAGTTTTTTTGAGCTGAGTATTCCCACAAATCTTCAGAAGTTGTCATTCTCAGGCATTCCTTTGTCTAAGAATAGTCTTTCAAGCATTGGTAAACTACCTAATCTTGAAGTTCTCAAATTAGAGAACACAGAGATCCAAGGCGACAAGTGGACAATGGAAGAAGAGGAATTCTCCAAACTTAGAGCATTAAAATTGAATTCTAGGTACCTTAGCTCCTGGAGTGCTCCTCAGGATCAACTGATGTGTCTTGAGGAGTTGGAATTGAGGGATTGCCTTTTTCTGAAAGAGATGCCTTCTTGTCTAGGAACCACTCCGAGCATTCAAATGATTAAGGTCGTTAATTGTCAAGACATTGTTGAAGAGTTTGTAAAAAAGGTTGAGGAAGAACAGTTGGGCTTTGGAAACTCGGATCTGAAGGTCATAATTCAATCCAGGCGCAAGCAAGGTGCGGGTAATTTTTCTGCACCCCTTTAAGCTGGATTTGGAGGATCTCACAAGGCTGATTGCAGTCCAAACCTGCTGGATTCAAACATTTAGCCTATCTGAGCAGCATAATTGTTACTTGTTCAATTTTTGGTGTTTGATGGACTGAGTGCAAAATAGTGCCTCAGGACTATTGGGAAATGGATGTCTTTTCATACTAAACATTCAGTGCTTTCTTTGGTTTTTTATACATAAGTTTGAGTGTTCATGTTTGTTATCCATTTCATCTCAATGTAAGTGTGAAGTGAAAAATAACAAATGTATGATGAACAAAGATGAAAATGATTAAGGAAAAGTAATTTCGCAAACACAAGAAAAGTAACACAGTTATCATCGCATGTTAAATTTGTTGCTGCAGAATGAAGAAAGGTTGCAGGTATATATCAATGTTCCGTCTTCTACTTGAAACAGTTACAGGAATCTATGCGGCTTTCAGTTACAGGGATTTTCGCCCCCGAATGAAAACAAAATAAATTATGGAATTTAAATTTTCCTCCCAAAAAAAGTCAGCAACTACTATATATTTGATTTCTCAATATCACTCTGTCCAGATTGATGCATTTTAGCCCTCCAAGTTTCTCCCCACAACTTGGCTTCTGCAACAGCTTGCTCTCGTTCTCGATCCTTGTTGGACGATTTCAAAGCTCCCTCTGCACCACCGTCTTCCCCTGCCCTCAGCTCACACTCGTCGTTTTTAGGCTCATTGCTGCCATGTGCCGGTGTTGCACTATACCTAAATCGCGGGCTTGTCAACAGATTCATGGCACTCAAAACATCCTTCATTGAAGGGCGTAACCGAGGCATGTCCTGTAGACACCTTAAGGCAACATCTATAGCCAGGCGTAGCCCTGATTCCGAGAAATGCCTTTCTAATCGCTTGTCAACTATTTCTTCGAATTTCTTTGCATCTTTCAACAACGGATGTGCCTGTCAGTCACAATGTAAATGAACACCAACATTATGCCACCTCAATAAGCAACTTATTTTAAGCAACAATTTCAGGAGTTACATTGCAAATCGGAATAAGAATGATTTCATATTTATTCTTTGCTAACAGCAACCTAGTACAGCTACCTACCCATCTCATATTAACAAATCATTGTTTTTATCAGCAGCATGATCAAGAAAAGTTCTGTCATTTCCGGTTTAGCCAAACAAATAGGGTAAGTCAGACTACATGATTATGAACTAGTATACATATATATACATACATCTATATTCTAAGTAATATCTTACCCATTCGAGGAGAGTACGTTTTCCCTCTTCCCTGCATGTGTCCTTGGCTTTACGCCCGGAGATTATCTCCAGCAAGAGGATCCCAAAGCAATAAACATCAGATTTGGCTGTCAGTTTTCCTGTGTCATAGTACTCCGGTGCACAATAACCCTCAGTTCCCATGACCCTGGTTGAAACATGGGACTTATCTTCGGTAGGACCAAACTTTGCTAGCCCGAAGTCTGAAAGTTTTGGGTAGAAACCTTCATCCAATAATACATTTGACGACTTCAAGTCCCTGTGAATTACAGGAGGGTCAGCTTCGTTATGAAGGTAATTCAAGCCTCCAGCAATGCCAGCAGCTATGTTCATCCTTGTATTCCAATCCAGTGACTCTTCATCTGGTGGAAGATCTGCATACATCAGTAATTGGATTGTTTAATTCTATGCTACAATATGAACAAAAACATGTATTAAAACGCCTAGATAATCAGTACATTGAATGCAGTGGATGTAAAATTGGTAAAATATCTGGAACCCAAAACATTAGTTTGTTGAAGTCAGCATTCAAATTGGAAATCAACATTAGACAACAAGAGGTAATGATAAAAGGTTGCTTGCCTCCGTCCATGTGATACGAGCTTCAATATTCGAAAAAATGGATCTCAAATGCCAGGAAAGAATTACCATGGAGGTGATATTCCAGAGATCCTAAAGGCAAGTATTCATATACAAGTAGGCGTTGCTCCCCCTCGGCGCAAAAACCGACCAAATTAACAAGGTTAGGGTGGTGTAACAGAGAAAGCATTAGAACCTCCACAAGGAACTCTTTCGACCCTTGAACGCCTGAAGTATCTAACTTTTTAACAGCAACAACCTGCCAATGTCGAAAGTTAGTTATGTTTTTAGATTATGAGTATTGTCAGGTATATGACAAAGAATACAGCAAATAATTGACTCGAGTTTTAGGAATACAACAAAGGAAGAGAGCACAGGGAGAATTTACGGTTAATTTTACCTGGTCAGTCCTCTCGATCTTCCCTCTATAAACTGAACCGAAACCACCTTCTCCAATGAGGCATTCGCTCCTGAAATTGTTTGTGGCAGCAGCGAGTTCCCGGTAGGAGAATGTGGGATTTGACTTAGCAGTAGGAGAGCTATCTAGTGAAATTGCACATTTCAATCTTGGTTCTTGAGTGGATGGCAATTTAACTGTAATGCATGTTACACAAAGTTGTGGTCAAAAAACAAGGGAAGAACCTTCTTAAAAGAGCCGTGCTAGTCTAAGCTATTAACAGCCAAGAAGGTGGTGGTTCATTATCTTTAGTTATAAGAACCGAGATGTTCTCTGTTTGGCCTTTATATAGGCGGAGTGGGCTACATGGATTATCTAAGACCTACAGTTTCATTAGCCTCATATGATGAGATTTTTTTTATTTTATTTTTCTTTTTAATTGTTGTTCTTGACAGTCCCTCCCCTCTGCCCGGATTAGAATCTCATGTTGATACGTGCAGCACAGAAATTTTCAACAACTGACAGTTTTTACAATTAAGGTTACTCCAGCAAACTGAATCCGAACATATGTCTATTTCCACATAATTACCAAAAATCCATTCAAGAGCCCAAATGTCTGTCTATCTATATGTGAAACGAAAAGCATCAATTAGTAGCATTACAATTGCTCAATGGACACTTAAGGAGATTGTTCCTTCAGTCAGAAAACCTCTCAAAACAGGTATGATCTTGCATGTACATTTGTGCAAGATGCAAAACATAACAAAGTACACTATCTAAGTATCCATGTATAGAACCCGAAGAAGAGTTAAAACGAAAGTTGGGCAGCTACTATTTTGTAAAACAAAATGGAAGAAGGAAAAAAATAAATAAATCTAGCATCCTCTTGTCTGTGCTGAAGCTCCATCAAGGAATGTAGCAGAGTCAAACCATGAAGAAGCCTAGTGTGAGTAAACAGGTTTACTTTATATTTCTAAAAGATACCTATTCCACAAAATAGGTTGAACTAAAGCCTAACAACAATGTACGCCTACTAGTGCTATGTGTTGAAAATCCACACTACTTTATAACAACATTCCATTACCTAGTTATTGTGGATCATATGTAGTAATGGATACAAACGAAAGGAGAAAGACAATATGTTGCATCAAATTAAGATTCCGAAAAAAAAAAGAAAACAAAAAAAAGACTAACCAGGGTTAGGAAAAGGAAAGGAGGAAGAATGTTGATGATGAGCTTCTTCCTGGTAATCTGCAGTGTCGGGTTGTTCTTGTTGTTCTTGATTCATCATCATTTGGGTCCTGGTGCTTGTGATGGTAATGTTCTTCTTCTTCTCGTGATTCCTCCCAAAGCATGGACAGATGCCCATTCTCTAAATTTCTCTTCTTCCCTCCTCCATCACTGACACAATATTTTTTCAGAAACTAATACAATGCATGAGCATCTTCGCTTTTGGGTTTGATTCAGAGATGGGTTTCTTTTTCTTTTTCTTTTTTTCCTTTTAGCCCGTCGTGCGAGCCTCCCACCGGGGCCCGCTGGGAGGATCAATTTCACAGAGGTTGGGTTTTTTTTTTTCTTTTTTTGGGATCTTCAGAAAAGCCACGATCCTGATCTATCCTTACGTACAATGCGGAATTGTATCATTCAATTTACAGTTTTAGCTGGGCACTAACAAGTGTTTACTGGTCTCTATAAGTACATTCCATTTTCTGTTTAATTGTCTTGCACAACTTCAAACGTTTTTTCTTATCTCCACTCCCAATCTCAGAAGAAAGCGTAAAAAGTTCCAAATGAAATGAATATATCACCATTTTTTTCTTTTTCTTTTATAACCCTTTAACAGTTTAACTCGATCAGATGGCAGACAATAGTTATTCCAAAATTGAAAATTAGCGCTTTTCATGTTCAGAACAGTACCTACTCCATCTGTCGCCAGAAATCGTTAAAAGTATAACGGAACAACAAAATGAATTAAGAGTATCATACAACTGTATTATCTCAGTGCTAAATAGGTATCTTTCATCTTTACCTCTCTCTAGTTCTAATATCTAATATTAATAACCATCCCACTCTAATATATATAAAAAAAGAGTATCCAATTTCAACCTGGCTAATAGTTAAAAACTGCAAAATTATTTACCCTCTTCCACCTCCACCCCGAACAATAATGTAATGATAGTAACGACGTCAATATATATAATAATGACACTAGCAATAAAAGAGATGTCAAATTTCAAAACTGGATTCATTTGCCACTGAAATTGGTGACATACTTTTCATGCTGCTGATCTTCAACTCCCCCTCTATGTATGCTTCATCCCCCACAAGGATCGAGGGCATGCCATGCAATGCAACAAAAAAAAAAAAAACCAAAAACCGCTTCCAAGCAAGTAGATTTATACACTCTCCTGCAGTTTTCTTTCAACTTCCTGGCAAACACCTTACATGCTGTTGCTGTGAATTCCATTGACCGGACACCCCTCATGAATCTGAAATCTGTCTTCATCTTCCAGTTGGGGGGAGTAATGAACGACTTTTGCAATAAACACTCCAATAGCAAGCTAGCTAGGGCAGTTGCAATAAGTTACTATAAATAAACTACCTCATATTAGGGTGACTGTCAGCGTAGTGGTCTTTTTTTTATTCGAAACGCAAAATGAATGCAAGTAGTCCTCGTCCACTGTTCCCAGCTGGGATAGTCGAATGCCGTAGGCTTCCATCCGGCGGACATCACGTGGGGTTGGGGATTGCCATAGACCATCCCACCATGCTGGAGGTAGAACTGGGGTGAAAGCACATTGATTCGTCTGCTCACTGCAACTCAATGGACCAGCGAATCTGTTCCACACATGGCCCCATCCAATTTGGTTCTTCAAACCTTCCGAAAGCAAATTACTTTGGAAGCTACTAAGGTACGTGAAATCAGAACCGGCCGAGGAATTATCTGCTGCAGAACAAATAAATTATCAAGAACAACAAAAGTCATGGGGAAACCAAGGAGTGAAAGGCATAAGCCTAAAATTTTTACCCAGTTGATAAGCAGCAGCCAATGCTGCAATCAGCTGAGCATAAGTTGTCCCCACACGTCTCTGTGCCCCGGTAATCACTGCATGTTTTGCACGTGATGCCAGAAAGAAATCTACAAATGCAACCCACCTGGGTGCTGGACCCCAATCCTTCGCCCTAAAATTCAAGTTGCTATTAAGCCTGCCCTTTTTCTCAGTAATGTTCCCTTCAAAATGCTCAAAATCAAAGTGAATCACCTGGAGAAACCAACATGACTTGTTCATAATGATCCTCATACGCATCAAGTTTGCACCCAAACAAACTGAAAATTATAAGGTATATTCTGATGCACAAACTTACTTCAGAAAATTCCACAAGTTTTGGTTTGATATCTTCAAGTAGAGAAGGGGTATCAGAAACCACGACTATGATGGGTCTGGAAGATAGTTTGGCTGCACTTTTCCTAATGCATTGCAGAGCTGCCTGAACTGCCCTCACAGACCTAAAGAACAAAAAAGGAACCGAAAAGATGGCATCGCCGAATGAGATAAAATTCTTCATTCACCTCAACCAAACACAACAGCACATTGCCAACTGGCATGCCAACACCAGTTAAAGCTCAAACAATAACAACAACAACAACAACAACAACAACAACAACCCAGTATATTCCCAACTCGGTTGGGGTCTGGGGGGTCAAACTAAATCCAACATAACTGGTTACAATCCTATTCCACAATCATGCAGACGGGTGACTGACGAATCCCACCAGCAATTCGCATTCTCTTCTTTTAGCAGCAGAAGTGTTTCTGCTTTATATATTAGATTATAGTCACGCAAATTGCATCTCTTCTCTGTCTATGAAGTACAGCTATAACTAGAGGTAAGGAGAAAACAAAAAGTATTTTTTCAAATAGAATGCTCTTCTCTGTGTACTTAAGAAATTTGAAAATCTTTTCTAAGGTCAATATCTCAATGACAAAAGATAGAAGGACAAGCCCTTTTGTTTTTCCCTAAACAAAGAAATTACGTACCTATTCATGAGCATCCTCATGTGCAGTACAATATCTGGATTATGTCTGCCACCAAGAGCCCAGCTGACAGCACGTTCAACAGTTTGTGATGGAGATATGAGTACTCTCATCAGCTCTCCAAAGACATTGGGCCTGTATTGCAGATTTTCCGGAGTTCCAAAGAGATCAGATGCAGTCTTCCTCATTTGTGGATGGATATTCTTTAAGAAAAACTGAGCTGCCACGGCATCTGTAGTGTTCTGGAACCTGAATAAGCCACCAATTAGATAATCACTTGAAACAACATCCAAATCCACATCAGCTAATTACTTGCAATTACTGAATTTTCAGCATCTTACCATATTATAGGTTGGCCCCATTCCTTCCAATTTCCACATAAAACCTCTGTCCGAGCTGGCTTCTGGAAATCATCAATCCTCATAACCAGATGTCGTCCATATTTTGTCGCGCAATGATTCATTCTCCAAAGGTGCTTGACTTCATTCAAAGTAAAGGAAAGGTTCGAATACAAAATATACTCCCCAAAAGGATATTTACCTCTGAACAATCAGAACAAAAATAGTGTTAGGAAGAAAGATTGACTTGTTAGGACAAAAAAGGAAATACAGACACGTTTCTTTGTACTGTCCATGTATTTATGTTTCAAAATGACAATGCAAGAATGTATTTCAATCTTCAACTTTATACAAGTAACCATCTTTAAAGATACCAAAAAGCAACTACTACAGCTTAATTTGGAAGGTATCAGATGAAGACTTATACGACATAGACATGCACAGCAAGGGTTGAGAGAGAACCAAAATGTGCCTGGTTTGCCCAATTATCAGAGATCGGTTTAACATCACACTTAATGCCGCCGCAGTTAATATCTTGTACATTTCATTACCAAAACCTGCTTCCGAAGCTTTTGCCAGCACAAAACCATGCTCACAGAACTCCTTTGGAGGCAAAGATCGGACTCTTGGAGCACCTGAAATGTCAAAGCTGTTAGCATCCCTCAAATTATAAAATTTATGGTAGAAAACTAGATGCCACACTTTCTGAAAGACTGGTCACACAGAAAAATCACAAAAAAAGTTCGTTAGTTTTTTGAAATATTACATGTGACAGGATTAATAAAATCAACTACATCCAATTACCTTGGCTCCTCACAATTAACTTAAGGGGAAAGAATAAGCTATATTAATATGAATAATGAATATAAGCAAGCAGCATAATGATTTTGTATTCCACATGGCAAAATTTAAGTTGGGTCAGATGTCACAGGTCATTTCATAAGAATTTCATGAATGGAATAAAAATCCATCGTTTACCCATTTCCCAGCTTTAAACACTTCACTCATAATAATTTAATTCATCAGCAAACCACGTATGACACCCAATTTATAATTTTTTTGATACAACTATATCCACTTCATAAAAAACTGGAAGTTGAAACACAAAAAAATAAAATTAAAAAAAAGAAAGTATGAAATGGTAGGAGAAATGGATACCATGTAAAGAAAAGTGATGGTGAATAATTTGCCTGGCTCGAAGACTCTCGTCCCGAAATCCTTTCTTGAAAATTTCACCCATCTCCTCAACGGTTGCGCATCCTTTCCGGTTCTTCTTCTTCTCATCACCGGAATTATCAACATCAGCCCCCCTCGCTTCCTCCGCCGCCTCGTCTTCTGAATTCAGTGCAATGTCAATTTCTTGTTCTGGGTTGTTTCTATCCGGCGTTGCTTGTACAACTACTTCCCGACGGTGGTGGTGGTGCAGATGGACAAGAGTGGTGGAGGAATAATCCTGGGCGTCTATCGCAGCGGATCTAACAATAAGAATGAACAAGCCAAGCCCAGTTGTCAAAGCTGAGCTGGAGATCAAAAACCAGTGTAACAATGACAGTCGCCGCCGTCGCCATCCCACCGCCGTCGTCCCCCCACCGCCACCGCCCCTCATCATTTACTTTGTAGCTTAAGAGATAGCAGTCCCTGAAAGCAGAAAAGAAATGAGGAGAAAAAGAACCAGCAATATTTTGAATTTTCTAAAGCATTGAGATTTTTACGGTCTATAAAGTCCAATCTAATCTGTGAGATTTAAGATTTGCGTTTGAGATTTGAAGATTTCTTTAGTTTGAGCAGAGTAGTAGTACTTAAGTACTTATACTGCTAATTAATATGAACCGACAACACTGCTGACTATGTCTGTTTGACATTTTTTTCCCTTTTATTTTCCTTTTCTTTCGGTAAAAAAAGAAAAGAATATGTTAACTTAGAGATTTCCCCCAAAAAAAAATCACTCCATTGCAATTATCAAAATAATAAATTATAAACTTTTTCCTTGCAGTGTGTAATATCTTATCTATTACATCTATATATTTTATTTTTCTACTATATTAACTTAGAGATTTAATCCTATTTAGACATTCAACGAGTTGCTACCATTTCTGAAGTGATATTTAGACAAGGAATCACAGCTTATCCGTCACGATGCTATCTATGCAATGAATATAAGGAGACGATGGACCATGTTTTCTTTGGATGCATTTTTGCAAAAAGGGGAAGAATTAGGTCAAAAATTATGATACATCCAAAGATAATTTCCATCAAACAAAAGCAAATGAATGACTTTCATAAAAATTATCGTAGAATCGATTATAAAATTTTCATTTTATACATGTCAGATCATGAATTAGTAACTGCATCCAATTTCTTAAAAAAAAAAAATTTGTTTCAAACTTTCTATTTTTGGAAAGGAATAGTTACGAAATTTCTATGAATAGGATTAACCCTTATTTTATTCCATAGTATTTTCATGAGATTCCTCTGAACTTACTTTACAGAAGCTATGGATTTAATCACGCCCTCAATGGGAAGTCTATGATTTATATGCAAGTTTGGTATACACTTGGAGGTTATACAGTGGCAACAAAAATAATTATGCTAGAAAACCCCCCTTATTAGTACAACTAAGTTGAGACAATAAAATTTACATGTTACAAGAAACATGATGTTGAAGCATTTTTTAGTTACTACACTTCCTAAAATTATTGTCACACTTGAAAAAAAAATGTCATAATATAATAATGTGTTAAGACACTTATAAAATTTTATTATATCAGTACAAAATAAATTTATCTCTAAAAATTGGATAAATCATTTATGAGTGATAATGGGTGTAAAGAAATTAAACCATATCAATAGATTATTCCCAAACTATTCATAATCCAAAAAGAATGAATTTAAAACTCATTGTTCTCCCAAAATGATATAAATCTGGGCACAATGCAAATGTTTTTAGTATAAAGGATCATGCGATAAATTTTTACACTGTTAAATAAAAATATTTTTAGTGGAAAAAAATTTGTTCTAGCATAATTTACTAATTATGACTCTTTTCTTCTAAAATTACTACTGATAATAACATATAAAGGGCCTAAATACATATAGATAATCTGTACGCCAACTATTATGGGAATTTTTTAAAATGAATAAATAAATAATTCAATACCAAATATACAATACTATCGCTTGGATGTATGAATTTAATTCGGTGGAGGAATTTTTTTTGGACCAAAAAAGTAAAGAGGGAAAAACCTCGCCCAAATGAACTTTCTAATCCCTTTTTTAATGGGAATAGAAGAGTAGCTAATTTTTTGGGGAAGATATCCACAAAATCAGCGGCATTTATTTTTTCCCCCCATTTCTTTTCCCTTCCTCAATTCATCTATCGTTCATGTCTCTCCTCCTCTCAACGAACGACTCATCTCTTTACTTGATCTCCCTTCTACCTTCTACATAGTCTCCACTTGATTGATGTAGGGTTATTTTCTCCATAATTCTTTTTCAAGTTAGTGATTATTAGATTTTCCTTACTCTTTATGGGGATTTTAGTTTGTTGCGATTAATTTTGTTGGGTTTTATGATTTGGGGTTGTTAGATTAGTGTTATTTTGTTAATGATGGATACTTATTATGGTTCTTTTTTCTACTTAGGATTGGAGATTGAAAATTGAGACAAGAAAAAAATCCATTTTTGAGCGAAGGAAAAAATAGATTAACTTCTTTCAGAAGTTCGAAATTTCTAAAAGTCAAAGGTAACTCAAATTCTAATAATATTCTTTTTTATTTTAGTTAATTTTAAGCAATTTTTTTTCAGGTTATGTGTGTATTCATGCCGTTCTTTTTTTCTTCTTTTGTTTATAATCAGAGTTAGGGATAAAAATATTTTCCAATAGCTGGCTCTAGAAATTTTTTTGTACGCGGCTGTATGTTTTCATGGAAATTTTTTGTTTTTTTTTCCTATTATTGTCATATATATTTTATAATGCGTTACTTCGTCTCATGAAGCAGAACAAGCTACGCAACCGTTGGTGATTATGATATTGGTCCAATCATCCAATCAAATTGATTGTTTGGCTCCCCGGATTATGTAGGAAGATTGAAATTCAGTGTTGTATCATAAATGGAAAAGCACGGATAGGCAACAATACTCACAAGAAAGCACGATGAATTCAAGAAAATGGGGGAGGTAGAATCGTGGATCCAAATTCCAAGAAAAACTTGTATATATATTGGCAATACAAACAGGAATTACTTTTTATGATTTACCTGTAAATAGTTTTTGGATGTACAAACTGGTGTTCAGTGCAAAATTTTAGCATTTGATAATAAGTTTCAATTGCAAAGTCTTCATTACATTTTGTTTTTTGCCTTTTTCGTTGTTGGTTCTCTTATTCTTTTTAAATTTGTTTTCGTCATTTACACCAAAAGTGAGAATAACAACATCATCATCATCATCATCATCATCATCAACAACAACAACAACAACAACTACAACAACAACAATAATAATAATAATAATATAATATAATAATTGTATTTTTTATTAAAATAAAATTCACCATGAATAAAAGAAATGAATTTATGTGCTAATGATAGTAAATATCACTATAAGTATATTGTAAAGACAAAGAAAAGAGTCTTAATAGTTCAAGACCTATTGCCACATTGAAATGTAAGACACTTGTTCAAAGTGTGTGTATAGTTAAGTGTCTCAATAAAGTAGAATAAAATACATTTTTAAGTGTATATGGGTGGTTTTCTAGTAGTGGATCATGACAACGCCGGTTTTCATAGTTTGGGTGTTTTAAAAAATGAGGAATCAAGCGATGTTTGAAGTATATTTGTTCAATTTAATTCAATTATTTAAGCTGTGAAATATGATATGAATACGTTGCATGACAGCTAGATCATTTGAAGAAGGAAAGGAGCTAGAAGATTTATTCCAAGTTAGAGTGGCTCCTAAAAAAAAAAAGAAATAGTTGTTGTTTCTTAGATTCCACCAAATGCAGGAAGTTACATATTATAATCCAGGAGAAATAAGATGGAGTTTTATCCTTCATGTGGAGCAAGGAAGAATGCTACATGTTGCATGCATATATTTAGATATGGTCACAGCCTATAAGCAGAAATGCAAGGTATATTTCAGGGAGTTAAATATAGCGACAACAAAGGCTTGCAATATGTGACGGTTCAATTTGACAACTATTACAGTAACCATAGACCTCCTAAGTTAAAGTAAAGAATTTTTCAAGAAATTTCATGAACCCCTATCTGAAATTGTTAATATTTTGAAGAGAAGGAAATACCAAATTACACATTTTTTGAGAAATCAATAGTGTAGCTAATGCTTGCAAAAAATGAGATCGAATGGAATGACATTGAATTTTGAAACTCATTTAGCTCTATCTAATGAAGCTCGCTCCTTCTCTATCTCAATCAAAGATGTTTCCCATATTTGAGGATTATTTTTTAATTGAAAAGAGTTTTAAGGGATCATTTGTAAGATCTTTATAAAACAAACTCTTAGTATAGATGATAGCTTCATATTGAAGTATAAGAAAAAGAAAATAGTTTAATCTTTGTAACCCAATTCTTAGTTATAATATGTGCATCAGAACCGTTATGAGATTTTTTAGAAAATCTTTGTGCAAATGTTCTTTCCCGGGGGTAAATATTAGTCACTGCTCCTTGTAACTTTTGCTTTTAAATCAATAATACCAGGATTTTGTTTACTTATTACATAATATCCATATATCAAAAAAATTTACATAATATCTTGCCAAATCACTTTATTTACTTATTACATGTTAAACTCGTGCGATGCACGGAGTAGGGGATTTTGTTTGGTTATAAATTTTTTAAGTGATTTAAAATGTTAAAAAGTATACACGAAAAACAACACTAAGTAAATTTTTTTGAAATTCATATATCAAATTGCTTTTGATAGGGTGAAGTTTTATGATGTATATTTCCACATATGAAACATGAGATCTTTTTCTGTATGAGAGAGAAAAGAAAATCTATAATATACAACAACAACAACGCTTATAATAATGTGGTGGTGGGAAATTATAAAAATCAAACCCAATGAAACAATAATCATCATATGGCAAAAATATAGGGCTGTAAAAAATCATCAAATATGCAAGTATGTGTAAAAGTTAGATATACACACAGGCATTTGGATTACATTTTTTATTGGAAAAATGTGCAAACCCCTAAACAATTCATCTCCCTTGGGGAGGTGGAAGTCACTGTTGAATCATGTATATTAATTTATTTCCTTCTCTTTTTTTGGTGTTTTTGTCCAAATCTTTTGTTTAGGGAAACAAATCCTATCTATACAAAGTAAGTTAGACAAGTTGGTACATTTAGTAGAGAATAATAGAGACACTAGTCATGCTAGTGGTTTTAGCAATAATAGAGTAGATGTTGTTACAGCACCAACTCTTCAACCACCGCCTGAAATAAAAGATTTTAAATTAAAATCTTTATCAGAATTAGAGAAACTACTTCTTTTTTTGGTGTTTTTGTCCAAATCTTTTGTTTTATTTTGCAATGGTAATAAGCTATTCCTAATCATTCTTGCTTCGTATCCGGGAAGAAATAAACTGCC